ACAAAGACTACATGAGAAAGAGACAAGAGAGAGATACAGAGACATATAGAGAACATATACATAGGAGGACAGCTACAGAGAGATACAAGACAGATACAAGAAGAGACAGATACAGAGACAGAGAGTAGAGTAAATCGACCGATAGATACAGACAGAGAAATAGATAGATACACGAGACAGTACATATACAGATACAGAGATGAGAGTAGAGAGAGATTATTAGGAGAGAGAGACATATAAAGTAGATATATATATATATAGAGAGAGATATAGAGAGAGATATAGAGAGATACTATAGTATTGACTATAGACATAGACAGGATAGAGATATATATATACATGAGGCAAGGAGGACGTAATATAGATATAGATGGGTTTATATATATATAGATAGAGAGATATATAGATGAGAATAGGAAATAAGATATAGAGATACAGAGAAAGTATACAGGTAGACGATACAGAGACCAGATACAGACACATATACAGAGACATAGACATAGACAAGTCCATATAAGATATATATATATTACATATACATATACATATACATATTACAGTATACAGATACTATACATATACATAGACAGATACATATACTATATATATAATAACCTTTTCTACATGTGTCAACATGGATAGTTAATATATATATGAGAGATATAACATATAATATAAACATATATCTATAGATATTGATAGAGATAGATATTATATATATTATAGATGTATAATAGCATATATATTATATAATAGATATAGTTAGATAGATATAATAATATAGAGTAATATATATTTATAGATATATCTATTTATATGATATATATATAATTTATATTATAGATATATGATATATATATATTTTATATAATATATGTATAATATTTATATAATATGTAATGTATGTATATGTGTATAGATATATATATATATACTATATATATATATATATTATATATATTATATATATAATATATATATAGGGATATATATATATAGATAGACATATATATGTATATATATCGTATATTGTATATAATGTATATATATGTATATATATGTATAGGTATACATTGATAGCTTATGTATATGTATATGGCCTATATATATAGGTATATGTATATGTAATAGATATATATAGAGATATATAGATAATAATAGAGACATAAAAGAGAGAAGGAGATAGAG